GCCTCGAGAAGCTACCTGCTCCCTCAAACCACACGCTTCCACAGGGGTAGATGCCCGCTCAGCAGCATGATCCCAGTGCTATGTCTTTTATATCAGTATCTGTGCAAAACAGACATTTATAAAACATTTACCTGGTAACTAAGTTTATACTAGAGATATATTAGAGATTAGATTAGAGATAATCAACAAGATTTGCTTCTTGATGGAGGAAACAGACAGTGCTAAAATAAGGAAATTCTGTCAGAACACACTTTTCTGAAGAAAACCATTCCGCATTAGCCTCTGTTAGGAAATCTCTTAGTGACATAATTACCAACCTACCTCTACTCCAAAAGAATTACAAATAGAAAGTCTACATAAATGTCCTTAAACGCAAATTCGCGTAGTAAAAGCGCACACAAACTTACCCTCTGACACTGTAAGCTATACCCATTGCAAGATTTTTTAGCAAAAGAATCAATCTCTTCATCGCTGTCCAAAAGCATCAGTGTCTCTGCTCAGATGAACAGTTAACCTGACAAGATGCTGCACAGAGCAGTCATTATATAGGGCAGCCACTGATGTCCTTCCTGGCCCAACCCGCGCCAAGGGCAACGGCTCCCGTGATTGAGCAAGAAGCACAGGGTGCTCTGCAGTCACTGATTAACTCCGCTCCGAGGTCTGCGAGCAACTTACTGAGCCCCCTCTCAGCGCCCTGTGAGTCACGTATGAAGAAAGGAGGGTTGGGACAGCAGGCACAAGGAAACAAGACTTAAGGTTTATTAACAGCCTTAACAAAAAAAAAATCCATCAGTTTCCTCTCTGTATTAATGTTTTCTAAGTCTTCCATTAGAGAGATATATAAGCACAGACCTTTTTCAGAAGTGAGGAGAAGAGAGTCCTCCTCCCCCTTGCCGCTTTACCAAAGCCTGTCAAGGACATTAAAACACGAGGCTGTTTACACAGGAGCAGCAAGGCGCTGGGAGCGGCTGCTAGAGCCCCTGGGCGAAGACGCAGCCACTTTCGCAAGGGCTGCTGAAGCTCCCTTAACAGCCCAGGGTAACAGGGCTGTAAGATACAATCTTAAAAGACAGTAAAAAGTTCCACAAGTTACTGCGACCAAACTGGGCAGAAAGGTGCTTTATGGTCAAAGGGACAGGAGCTAGTTTGATATTTTAATACTTGAATATAATCTGCATTGCTTTGCAGAATTTTAGTGGAATGTTTATAGACACGGTAAATTATTTTAATAGATTATCTCAAAAACACATTGCAAAGCTATCACAAATGGCCTGCTGTCCATAGCTTTAGCTCTCTCAGGATGAAGAACTGATAAGCCTGTGATTTCTGGTAGAAGTATTATTACCAGTGAGAGGGAAGCTTTACATTTTGTCTTGTGATGTACCGGAGAGTTTAAGGAAAATTTAATCGACTTGTTACACACAGATACATGTTATAATGAAATGAAAGAATGGGTCATACCATAAATTCCTGCCCTCTGCTCTGTGGCTTTTTAATGCACATCTATGCTATTAAAACAGACATATATGAACAGCACCAAAAGGATACAATCCTACTGCCTTCACCAGTGAAGCTTTATTAAGCATAATATATCTGTACCGTGAAGGTGCAGCTTTTGCAACATGGTCGAGCACTTCTGCAACAGCTCACTGCAGACATTACCTTTTCTCATTCTAAAGTCTAAAGTTTAAGCCAATTTTTGGTACTTAAGTTCACAAATGAATTAGCCCTATCACTAAGCAGAATAAGCGGAGAAGTAAATTCACAAGTGTGTGTCAAGCAATTTAACAGCTTTGTCTGTTAAAGAGAACTACAAACCAAAGACAACCTCAATTCAGTTCAACTGAGCTTTATTCAACACTGGATACGCCATCTTCAAAGCCCAAATTGGCTCTGTATTACATTAGGGCACCACGCCAACTCCTGGAAGTATTTGCTCACTCTAAATCTAGCATCTTCTGAAGCCACAACGTTTGCAATCCCTCGGGAGCCAAGGGCTGGATTCGGCACATTGCAAGCAAACCAAAAGCTACCTTCAATTACCCCCTGTTCCAGCTGGAACAAACCTCCCCAGCCTCCCCTGCGTCAGCAGCTCTGCACCGCTCCACCGCTCGTCTGCTCAACACACTTCTAAAACAGAAGGAGCAAGCACAGAAAACCACACACATGCAACAAATTAAACAAACCAACAGAAATATTCTGAAAATTTTTAAGAAGAAAAAAGAAAACAGATGAAAATCGACTGTATCTTAAAGAGATGTGACTGAATTATCACAAGATCAGACTAATGCCTAGTTCACCAGACCTATGATCACTGATTTTCCTACAGAGCAGACACAAAAGTTGCTCTAAGTTAGATTCCTTTTCTGCAGCAGAAAGTAAGGGAAGGGAAAGAAAGCCTTCCCCTTACAGGGAAGGGCCAGGAATTTGATTCCTGGTAGCTAAGGAAATTCTGTGTGAGATTTACCTGGACAATCACAGGTTTTCATCTTGCTTTGGCTATATCAAAAACATATATATACATACATATACATACATACATATATATATTCATACGTGTGCACTGGCACTGACGGTATTTTTAATTGAAGAAAGG